TTCAGCATACACCCAAAGAAAAAGATCTCCCTCTCAGCAATACTTAATGAGCAACTGCGAGGTGGCCTTCAGTGTCACATCTTTACCTGAGGACTTCACACACTGCAGTCTGAATCAGAAAGCCAACACAGAATGCGAGGAAGTCTTTGGCAGAATCTATTGTTTGCCACAAGCTCTGATTCCTTGGCATCTGTATAGTTCAGAGTAATATGTACTGTTTAAAAGGTGTTTGGAAGTAATAAATTAGTCATTTTAAAGTGTAATTAAATGTAACTATATTCCTCTCCCCAAATCGGCTTCTTTAGGCCTCTCGTGCTAAATAAACCAAGCCTACCGAGAAAGCCATTGGCCTTTGACAGACAAATTTTTCAAAGTTTCTAACTTAGAACCAAATTCAATTAAAACAATACTTTACAACTTCTGTGGAAACCAGGCTACAAATAATCGATTTTGGAGGGTTTCTGTAAGGAGTAGCCCTCATGAGATTTGTTCAAACACAGGGCACCAGGAAGCCTTGGGAAGGGAGCTAAGAGTTAGTTATAATGAATTTTTAAGTGAAGAATTTTTTGTTGTTGTTGTTGTTGTTGAGAGATTTTGACTGGCAGTAGCATAATACCATATTATATGGTGTGTGTGTGTGTGTGTGTATACGCACGAGTGTGCATGTGTGTTATTGTCAAGGAAAAGCAGTAGCTATTAATGAATACAAAAGAATTATAAAACTGCCCTGGGCCTGAATCCCAGCTCTGCCAGCCACTAGCATTACCTCTAACATGGGATTCAGGAAAGGGCCTTGTGTGAACCTCATGACTTAGGGAACACATGTGCCAAGGTGCTGCTAAACAGTTAGCTAATGTGGACTGTACGCTGCTGCTCCCTGGAGGACTTCCCAAAGGAAGTCCTTGGGTGACCTGAAAAGATTCCTGGGACACTTCCCCTTTTAGTGGCTACTGCTTTCCCTTTTTGTGGCAGTACAAACGGGCAGAGCTGCTCTTGTGCTTGTTTTGAGACGACAGCTTACACACTGGTATCAACACTGACCCCCCACAGAGTCTTTGATGGTTTTATTATTTTAGTATTTCATTATTTCTCTGTCCCGCCACAGACCTAGATTCAAGAAAAAACAGACCTAATGTGCGCCCTAGTCTTAGGAGTTCAAGTTCCAACACCATAATGCCTTCAAATTAAAAATTCCCACACCATAAGCTAATAGCAAATGCAGAAGTCTTTCTACCTTGGAAAAAGGGTCGAGGGGAATTAAAATGCTCATCACATGCTTCCATCAGCATGACATGTTACAGAGCATAATATTTGGAGGAAGAAATGAGACAAAATACACTTAATAAAATTACAAGCATATGGTGAGGTTCTCAGACAAGTTATTTATGTTCTTGATTAACCTTGTAATATTATTGCCATTTTCAATAGGTTTTACATAACAACATAAAAATATTGTCTTTACCTTTTAACATAGCAGGATTATCTTATCTCCTGTTATTTTATTTAGCCTTTGTTGCTCTCCCTCACCCCAAAATTTCTAGCAGATTGATGATAAGCTGGATGGTGGTTAATTTTATGAGCTCTGCTTTCCTGGAGAAGTGCATAACAACAGTGCCACCACAAGGACATGGTCCCACACTGCCACACTCTGTTCCACTAAATAAATGGACCAGGAGCAGATCTTTTTTTTTTTTTTTTTTTTTTTTTTTTTGCAGCATGATTCCAGGCTGCTGTGCATCCAAAATTGGCATTTCAGGCATTTCACAGTTAATAGGTCTTAATTTCTTCTAATCTGCACACTCCTTAGTTTATCAGCTCTTGGCGGGGGATGGAGGTGGGTTTAATGAGGTCTTTTTTTAATCCTAGTAAAAAGAAAGGTAAGGGATTATACTAAGCTGTAGATAAGCCAGATGAACAGATGCACTTACATAACTTTGGAAATGATATACGAAAACTGATGTTAGAGGCAGTGTAATATCTGTGCTGTCAGAAGAAAATATTAAAATGTGAGGTGTTCTGTGGTTAGTGACTGTGAAAGTCGCCTCACGATATGAACTTTACTTATTCTCAGAGTCCTGTCTGTCACATCTTATGACAGTCCATGAATTTGGCAGCATGGCAAACTTGTTTTCTTTAATTTTGAATGTATAGCAACATATCATGAGGATCAAATCAAGTGAATTTAATTTACAGTAAGGTGCTAGCCTTATGTATCACCGATAAATGTATCTCAGGACTGCTTTCTTATCCTGCCATAAACTGGATGGATTTTACCACATTCGTCATTCAAAAACTTTGTATTCCACACTCTGCATGAGCTCTAAAGCCGCATTAAGCACTACAAACAAACTAGTGATTAGAAGGTAAACTGTGGAATCCGGCTGAATGGGTGCAGACTTTGGCGCCACTGTTCCTGGCAGGCCTGACCTTGGGTTAATACTAGTATTTTAATGTCCTCTTCTAGCAAATGGAGTTCATTCTGTGTAGTTGTGATGAGGCTCAAATGAGATAGCATCTGTGAAGAATTGGCATGGGTAAATGCTCAGTAAATAGAAGTTACTGCTATTGTGATTATTTCTAGACATTGATAAGTTGCTGCTGTTGGTGTTATTGTTTGTAGGTATTTGTAGATATTGGTAGTGATCTCTTTGCGTCTACTTATGGTATTCTCTAGATAAGGCTAAATCTAAAATAAAAAGCATACTTTATTTTCTTTCACTGATACTGTCACAGGATGTTACCCACTTCAAATTTACAGGTGTATATATGTGAAGAAACATAGGGTGGAAAAGAAATATCTTTTCACTGCCCATCCTAGGTTCATGACTGATTATGTATAACAAAAGGCTACTTAATAAGAGGAAAACATATAAATTCATTTCACATAAGTTTTTCATGACAGAAGAGCCTTCACAAAGAAATGAAGACCCAGAGAAATGGCTAAATGTGTATTTTCATGCTAGGTTTGACAAAAGAGTGGAAACTCCTAGGAAAATATGATTGGATAAAGGGGATATGATCCAATGGAAATAAACTGGAAGAAGCTTAGCAAAGCATTTTGATCAGTTCCTTCTGTGTCCCTGCGTCTTCAAAGATAGTGGTGTTTCTTGTGACAAGTACAAGGAGGGCACCTCTCTCATAAGGACCGTATGACCTGCTACAGGGGAGATCAGGACATTGCTCCTAGGTTTGATGAGCTTCTTGAGGGGAAAAGAGCAAGAATGGGAACAAGCGACCTGGCTGCTTCTGCCTTTTGTCAAATACAAGATGCCACATAGGGTTGCATGCTTGAACCCCACAGGTAGCCATGTGCCAGTGGTGGCATGTGACCTCAGCCAGTCCACTCGTCTTCCTGCCTTTTCCTGTCAGCAATCCTTCCTTCTCTGAAAAGCTGCTGTTTGGTATTTTGCTTTCCAGCGCTCGGAAGCTACTGTGAATGTGAATTTTTATTGACTGTTCACTTGTAGCATTGAATCTCTTTTATATTATAGAAACATGCACAAAGGTAGAAAGGGACCCATCTGTGTAGTCCAAAGTGGGAGCTGAGTCACAAACACAAGTACTTTCTAGAAGGTTGGAAGAAGTCATTTAGAAAAGGAACTTGGGATGAGTATAAATAGAATTCATGATCTAAAATTAAAGGATGGACATTTGCTGAATATGAGGATTGTAATACTCAGAAAGTTATGGAAATGCCTCTGAAAATAAATAGGCCGAAATCCATTCACTGGAGGCCTCGGTGCTGCTGAAATACTGAGCGAATACCAATGAACATATTATCAGGAGTATTTCTATATGGTGTGAGTTGATCCAGGGAAGCAACCTGTTAGGCCTTTTGCTTGCTAATTTATCTTTTGCTACGAAATAATAAAGCCTAAATCACAAAACCAAATTTCACTTGCAAATTGCTGAAAGTCTTATTTCTCCAGTGAGATCAAATATGCCTTATGACATGTTTCCCTCCGCTCTCCTCCCAGCTGTTGTTTCTTATTACTGAAATGCTGATGCATTGATACTGGTTCAATTACCAAAGTATCTGCTAACATTTAAATTCCTAGCACATCACAGGTAGTCAGGCTAAGTGACTGTGATTATCAGGTGGGGTGTTTGTTATAAATTAAAGGAATCCTTCCAAGAGATTATTTATAGAGGAAGACAGCTTGCTCTGAAGACTTCCCATCACCTGTGTCTTTAATATTTTAGGACTGGTTAAATAAAGACTATGTGGGGAGTAAGGAACTTGAGTGTGCAACCACCATAGCCGTAGTTTGCCTTGGTTGGGGTCAGCACTGTGGGTCCCATTACTGTAGGTGAGGAGCCTTTGTAGATCAGAGGGAGAAGATTGGGTTCCATTAACTCAAGTGTTTAAGCATTCACATGATGTAGTTTTTAACTATACTTCAAACAGTAGATGAAAGGTTTTTTGCGGAGGGAAGATTTGAGATTTCACATTTTTGTCAGGTGTCGGCATCACTTTCTCAGCTTACTTCAATCCATGCTTAAAGCTGTTCTATGCACTTGGGGAAAATGACCCCCTTAACCTAAGATTTACTTGTATAATTCTCATTAATGACAGCAGAGGTGATCCCTATGGACTTAAACCGAAACATTAATGCGTGTTCTGGAGCTCTGGGTTATGCTTATGCAGTACAGTATTTGTTCCTCAAGATACCTTGTTTTATTTTTGCTTTATCTGGGAATATCAACCAATGCTAACAGCATAAAAATTCTACAAAGAGAATTCTGACACATGACCTTTAATTATATTGTGGATGTTATTGAGCCCTATCAGAGGCCATTAAAATAACCTGCATTTCATTGTTGATAGTACTGTGGTGTGCTGGGTCTCTCAAGAACCTTGGCCTATTCTGAAAACAAATCCGTTCCTTTCTAATAGATTGAATCTCACAAGCAAAATTATAGTGTTGAGAAATTGTGTGAAAACATATGTAAAGATCATTGTGCTGAATACTAGCTCACAAATGTTTTGTCTCTTGTAGCCTGTCAACCAGGGTCGTCACTATCAGAAAGAAATGAATCCGCCTTCTCCATCTAACCCTCGGTAAGAATCATCAGTAACCTACATGATTGTGATTTAAAATTTTTTACTTAGAAGATTATATAGCATTCTTGGTTTCATGAAATTTAAGAGCCTTCTAGAGTTTATTTTCTTTTGAAGTCTTAATTGATCCACTTTTTTCTTCTTTTTTTCTTTTTAAGATAGGGTCTCACCTGTAGCCCCAAGCTGGCCTGAAACTCACTACATAGACCAGGCTGGCCTCCATTTCACAGAGATCCAACTGCCTCTGGCTTCCAAATGACAGGGCTAGAAGTGTGTGCCACCATGCTTGGCTCTCATCCACTTTTCTTTTCAAACTGTGCAGTAGTAGTAAAAATTTACCTATGTTCAAATTCCTGGCTGTGAGACTTTGAACACGTCATTTAACTCACGGAGATTCAGGCATAATAATTACTTCATAGTATTTTGAGGAAGTTCAAAGTAACTAACATAGTTCTTTGCACATGGTAATCGCTTTATGAGCATTAACTTCCTCATTTTCATAAATTTTCATTTTAATAGCTGTTTGATGTCTGGTACATAATTATTTTATGTCTTTAAATCTATCAGGATACCTTATTTAAGTTTAAATGTTTATAATTTGCTCAAATGATTATAATTAAGTTCAAAAGTTTATAATCTCAAAATTATTCTGTTTGGGGGCTGGAGAGATGGCTCAGCGGTTAAGATCACTGGTTGTTCTTGCAGAAGACTCGGGTTCGAATCCCAGCACCCACATGGCAGCTAACAACTGTCCGTAACTCCAGTCCCAGGGGATCCGACAGCCTCTTCTGACCTCCGCAGGCATTGCATGACACGGGTGCACTTACCTACATGCAGGCAATACATGCATACACATAAAATAAAAATAACAATTTTTTTTATTCTATTATTTTAAATATATTACTGGCTGAGTTACTTGTCAATGTAATTTTGGACTTATCAGGAATAAATACATCTGAATTTGAGCTTTAAAAACACATATAGTAGCCAGTGCTTGAGAGGTTAAAACAGGAGGATTGCTGCAAGGTTGGGGGCACTCTGGACTGCATAGTGGGTTCCAGGCTAGCCTGGGCTACAGAATAAGACCCTGTCTCAGAAAACAAACAGAATGCACATAGTATTAAAATACTGCTGCTGGGGCTGGAGAAATGGCTCAGCAGTTAAAAATACTGGCAGTTCTTGCAGAAGACCCGGGTTTGAATCCCAGGACCCACATGGCAGCTAACAACTGTCTGTAACTCTAGTTCCAGGGGATCCAACAGCCTCTTCTGTCCTCCATGGGCATTGCACGACATGGATGCACTTACCTACATGCAGGCAATACACACATACACATAAAAAATAAATAAATAAAATATTAAAATAAAATACTGCTGCTTTCTGATAAGTATCTATACAAGCTACTTTGTTCATATGAATCAATATTATTTTATTAGTTTGTTGGACACTAGGAATTTATGGAAAGTCATTCAATCTCGAGCTTAATTCACAGTCTGAGTTACAGAAATGCATCTCATTATAAAGCAGTTTAAGCCATACTATGAGTTGTCCTGTGGAACAGACTAAAACCAAGGAGAGCACTGTAGCCCCAGCTCCTAGAGTGTGGTTTCTTTTACCTGATATTTGAATCAAGACTCTGTTGACTTGTAATAAAGACGACTTGGCTAGTATTTAGAGAGCCAGGAAGGGAGAAATAGAAAGGGCAAAGAGAATACAGGCTGTGTCCTAGAACCCAAGGACAGGTGAGCCTCGAGGAGGCAGGGACTAGAAAGCCAGCAAGCAGCCGGGCAGTGTCCTTCTCCATCTCTGCTTGCATCCACCTGTCTGCCCCATTCTTTTCTAAACACCAGCTTTCTCTGCTTCTCATTTCAAATTGACTGTCTCACAGCTCTTGAGTTTACATATTATAGTTCAAAGTACATGCTGAGGCTAACAGAGTATGTCTGAATCTCAGCTTCTACTTTCCAGCCTCTTCTTTCAATGTGATTTGCCTAGATTTGGCCAAGTATCCACTTCTGGTTCTGTCACCCATGAGTCTTAAGCCAAGGCATAGAAAACTAACAGGGCTCCCAGGAGACAATCTATGAGGCGTAAAGGACTTTTATTAGAGCTGGGAATATTTATGACATGGGTTAATAAATGTTCTTTATCAGAAGTCTTTAAGTGTTCTTGGCCAGTGTACCTACTGATCTGATCTTCGGAGAACTGTCACTATCATAAGTAATAAGGTGTTTAAAATTGAGATTAGAATTTCAGGGTATATAAAAGGGTATTTTAAAATCACATGTATTTCTTGATAGGTGAATGTGTCACTTAGAATCTTGCAGATCATCTACATTTTCTCTGTGTGTGTGTGTGTGTGTGTGTCTGTGTGTGTCTGTGTCTGTGTGTGGTGTGTGTAAACTTTTACAATAGCTGGAAATACAACTTTAGCCCAAATTAATAACAAATTGAGAATTTGTGGTCTGAGCAAGTGAGAATGAGATATGCTAAACAGTGGGACCTTAGCTTCAGAAAAGGGAGAAATGGCCTAATTCTCACCATTATCCAAACACTGATCTACTATATGAGCCCAGACAAGTCTTTCAGTCTTTCCAAATGTAATAATCCAAACATCCTGATGTATGAAAAATTTTAGTTATGCGCGCTCTGGGGTCAAGTCCAATCTTAGGATGCTGTGACTCTCACGAGACGCACTCTGTCTACTAAAGGGTTACACACTTTGTTTTTAGTCCACTAAACTATATAGAAAACATGTTTCCTAAGTACTGAATGAGTTATTACTTAGATAGGATAGGATGTGACTTTAAATATCTATTTTACAGGTTGATTCCAAAAGACAAGAGTATCAAAAATATAGAACACAAGAAAATCCAGCAATAGAGCAGAGTACTCCACATGCAGCTACGTGTTCACATAGGACAGAGTAATTTACAGTTCTTCATAGCGAAATCAAAAGACAAACTCTAAAGCCCAAAATAATGTTATCAGCCTCATTTGCTAGTAAGTTTTTTAGAAAATTATTATATAACTCCAGAAAACCCGTAGCTTATGTTGCTTGGCTCCTGGTTCATCAACTCAGCAACTTGGAGAGTTGATGGGAAGGCATTATTAAGCCATAAATACAGAAGATAATAAAATTCTAAGATCAGCATGTATCATCATATAAAATGGGATAAATTGACTCATGAAATACATGTCATTTAATTTCAACTGAAAGCTAGGATTCTACTTAAGATTCCTACTTGTTATGTAATATCCTATGCTCTATATCTCAAAGTGCAGAACTTTAAAGTCAAGGGATACCGATAGTTATTGTGAAAACCATGTGAGAAGCTAAGTCTCTAAATACAGGGTCCTGGATACAGGAACAGCTGAGCTGAATCCTAGATGGGAAGTTCTACTTAGGGCAACTCGGAGCAGGACCTGAAGAGCAGGTGGTAGTGTGATTATAGTCACAGCACTGCCGTGGCAGCAGAAGCAGGTGAAGCCTGTGCGTGCGCACCCACGAGGAGGTGGGTGAAATGCTGCAGCTACTCCAGGCTTCTGAGAACCTCAGATTTTCAAATGACATATACTCATGTGCACAGATACACATATTTAGCGTCAACTTTCAATTAGCTTCATTAATACAACAGAACAGCCAGTGTCCCCAAGGTCCTTCATTTACATTTTGTTATGGAGAGATTTTCATTTCTGAAACATAATTGGCCTCTTTATTTTGTGTGCACAGGATTAATATTAGATAATATACAATCCACAGAGCAGGCAAAGTCAGGTGATGGAAAGTTGGCTCTAGGTTGGAAATAGCTAAAACACTGCATATATTCATATATTGTTTTCTTCACAGTAAAATCATTCACTTAGACTCTTGGGGCAGTGCTTGACATTGGATTGAAGAGGGATGCAATGGTGATCATTTTCCTGAGAAGATTACAGTCTAGGAAGTGAAATGTATACGGTTCACCTCATCACACTCCCTGGCGTGTCTTGATTTGCAACAGGGCCATTTGCCCATGTATTCTTAGGCAGGGGGTGGTATTTCCCATTATTTTTTCCTAATACATCAACTGATATTTAGGCAGCATCTCAAATGCTGAGGCCCTTGCCTCCCAATCCACCGATGCTGCCTCTTGGGGCACTGACAGCCTTTACAACAAAGTCCAGAAACGGCTAACATAATCTAATACAATTTAGAGTTGTGTGGGGTAGGAGGAAACAATTTCACAGTTCATTCGTGTTGAGAAATGTTTCCTAGCATGTAAACTTGCATTCTGCCAAACAGAGCAAAATGGATGCTGCTTGCAGCCTCAGGTCATTTATTTGAAAATGCCATCTCTTGGTTTGCAGGTTTAGAGCCATCCCTTAGGCACATCCATTTGTGAGTTTATGTAGATTCCTCAGAACAGCACAAGATATTTTTGCTCAGGAATGAATTTTATGAAATAAGCTGTGATTGTGTTCCAGTTGTCTGTTCACATGGCTAGAGTTGAGTGTCAGTCTTTCATTTCAAATGGTGATTATGCTTGCTATTCTACAACCCATTGGAAAAAGTAGAGACAGGAAGGACTGGAGTCAAAGGCTTTGTAAGGTTCTAAATGTTTATGAAATAAACAATATCAAAAACAATTCTAGACTCTCCAAGCAGCAGCAAATGGCATGATTCTGTAAAGTTTGCTTCGTGATTTATCGCTATGCATAGTTTTTTAAAATGTCAACGCAGATTATGTTAGGGCCTAAATCCTGTGCAGCTCTGTCACATGTTTGTGTGATACAAACATACTTATAACTTTAATTATCTGATAAAGCCCTGCAGACTCTGACAAGTGATTAATAACCAATGACCTCAGTTCCTGCTGGTTCAGCCAGCCTGACGGAGGCAAGCAGGCCTGTCATTACAGCCTACACGCACTACTCAGACCGCCTTCATTTTTCTTTTCTCAGCTTTTGTCAGGACTCAACCTAATGGGCTTCTCTTCTGCTCCAGCTTGTTTTCTTGT